GGATTAATTGGCCCATTCTGTATTTAACAACTTCTGATTAAAGGGCAGTGAGCATCCAAGATGCAGAAGCAGTTCCACAACGTTCTTCCAGCCAGAAGGAGCCTGCTTGGTGCATATGAAGCCAATGTGACAGTTGCTTGAAGAACTTGAGGTTCTGTTTTACTGAAGCTGGTACCTTTTGTTCAGTGGGTGTAATTTGGAAAGTGCCAAGCAGTGTTGGAAGAAATATACTTCTAAGGGTGAGAAGGCTCTGATCCCAGAATTAGAATTCAGTTGATGGCTGCGCGATTTTACCCAAGTGTTTTGGGAGCCTGGTATGAAGTAGTTAAAATTTACCTATGTTAGTTAAAGTCTGTCTGATTCTATGGAGTCTCGTATACTTCTGCTTCATGTTTGGAAGGAAATACTTTTTCTGTACTGTTTATCAAAATACTGGTGAGAGTTTCCACAAGATCAGGTGCTCAGGTTGATTTTACCCAATCTGTTGTTTGATTCTTACAGTTCTTTGATCCCAGAGTTTTTGGTACTGGCCTTGCCTTCGTAGTTGATCATAATCCATGCAAGGCACTCTTGTTTTGATCACCGATTTCCATGAAAACAGATGACGCTGTTATCATTCCTAATGTTGGTAAACAAATAGGATGTTGGTCACTATGACTCAAGCTATTCATAAAGTTTCACCGCGGCTCTGTTTCCTTCAGGCTTGTGCTTTGTTCTGGCCACTGAGCTTAGCAGGCCATTTTTTAGTGTAACTTTAGGGTGGTCTTTTAAAATGCTGCTTGTACAGGTTCTTGCCTGTTCTCCTTTTTTCTTTTTTCTTCAGGCAGTATTAGACCCAACCTGAAGCAATAATTTCCCTGGATTCTGCTGGGAAAAGTATTCAAGCTTAGGCTTTCCACTAGGCACCTTACTGTAATGAAGTGGTTATCAAATACTGCCTTGGGTGAATTTGCACAAAAATTCAGACTCATTGAAGACAGCAGCTCCTGCTTATCTAGATGCTTTCATTCTTTCAGTCTGATGAATCTTTTAGCTGTGTGTGTGTGTTTTTTTCCTCTCCCTCCCCCTGCCCAGTACAGCATGCAAGACTTGAAGAGGTAGGAAAGCACTACATAGTGCATCCAGTAGTCCAGGCTTCAGGTTGGTACAAGTGCACGCTTGTCTTGAGCATTTAATGCTTCATATAAAACTCTTTCCATTCCACATTTAATGCATTTCTGAGAACACAGACATTTATTAAATTGAAGAGGAGAAACAAACTGAAAGTTCAAATTACTGAATGTAACTTAGTTTTTGTAACTGGATATAGAGGGTACACACTGCAAATTGTGACTCACTTGTAGTGTGGCGACAGTCATTTCACGTATCCCATTATGTTGTTCTGAATAACTCTGCTGTTGATCATTCTTCCTGATGTTGCTGTGTACTACTTATTGTGGTGTTAAGCAGAAGGCTAGTAGAGTATGCAAAACATTAATTATTCCAGTGTTAGGATTATCTTTACGCTTGTCTAGAATGGGACGCTGGCCAAAATTGTTGCTGTGACCTTTCATTGTTATGGAAAGAGTATAGCGGTGTTCTCATACCTAATAAAGCTTTCAAAAGTACGCTTTTCAATGTTGCACATTCTAGGACTTGGAAGTTGATAAATGTTAGTTTATATTATGTTGTTTCTGCCCCTTACTAAATATCTATGGAATAAGAAAAATTGTATGTAAATGTATTTAAAGTTAATACAGTAGTGTAGCAATGGGTACAAAATTAAGACTGAATAGACAGCTTTAATAGAGTCTAATTGACAAAAGTTTTATTTTTAATCTTGATTTCCTCTTAACGTAGGGTTTTTCTGAGAAACTTTCTTACCTATTTGGAAAAAAAGTTGAACACGCATTGTATTGTATGCCCCTGATGGTGCCACCAGTCTGACAGGAGTAGCTTTTGAAATCTGAATTTCAGCACTAGAGCATAGTCTGTTGCACAAGTTACGGGAATAATTGTTTTAGTAGCAGCGGGCTAGATGGGCCACTGAATCAAATGTTGGCTGTAATTCGATGAGCCTGGCCCAGCACAGGACAGTCTCGTCAGCCTGCTTTTAGCAGGAGGAAGACAAGCCTGCTTCTGGAGCTGCATCCTAGGTCTGAGAGCGTTTGTGCTTTCTGTTCCTGCATCTCCTGAAGAGGAGAGAGCTCTAGCTGGATTTGGAGGGGGAGAGGGGAGTGTGCAGTTCAGGCTATGGACCTAGCCTGGGATGCCTTGGAGGCTTGGGGAGAGGGAAGACAAGAGAAATGTAGTTTCCTGAGGCATATGCAGTTACTTTCTCTGCCTACCCATCTGTACTCACTTCTTGGCGTGGTGGCCAAGGTGAACCGTACTTAAGGGATAGAGTTCATAAGAACAGGGTTCTTAGAAGTTTCCTCAAAATTAGTGGCTTGGTAGAAGAAGAAAAACCTAGATCAGCGTTCATCACTTCTGTACCCTCCCTCCCTCAAGGGGGGAAATCTATCACAATTTCCATGCTTATCTATTTTGTTTACTCTTCTGCTAGGTCAGCACAGCCATAAGTACCTGTCTGTCTAGTACTTGAAGTAGATAGGAAGGTGCAAACAAAACTGGTTTAGCTTACAATGCAGGTAGGGAATGAGAAGCATTGTGTTAAGGGGCCACGGGAAAGGCTTGAGATCTTGCATGACAGAATACTGATGGGAGGAAGATACGTTGCTGAGGCCTGTCTGGATGTGTATGGGTTACAGGAGACTAATCATTAGGGACCTGGGCTTCAGCTGTGTTGCTTATAGAGGAATTATTTCTCTTATAAGCAACACAGCAACAGAGGAATTATTTCTTGTTTATCTGAGGCTGCTTTGCCAACTCTGTAGGTTTCTGTAATATGCATAACTTCTTTAAAAGTACCAATTTTGTTATGTCATAATAAAACTAAAAACACCCTCCACCTCCCCCCCCCCAAACACCCAAGCAAGTAAACCTAAGTTTTCACTTATCCTCGCTCAGAAGCGCTTCTCCTAATTCTTTCTTACCTCTCCCCAATAGTATGGGGAGAGAGGTAGCATGGGGAACGACTGCAGTGTGTCTGAGACCAGGGTTGCTAAATATGCAGCCTTTAGATAAGATTGGCTTTACCTGATATGGTGAAATTGTGCAAAGTGTCAATTTTCCTTAAAATTACAATGGTTAAAAATGCACATTCTTAAAGACTAGCTTTTCGATGAAGAGTAAGATTAAATCGGGACAAGAATGATATTCTGAATGTGCAGAGAACCTGCAACACTAGTTGCAGTGGACATGTGATACCTCCGTCCCCTACTGTTACAACATAAATGAGGATTACGTCGATTCTAGAGTCTTATTTCCTTACTCTTCAGTTCAAGAGATGACAAGGAAAGGGAATAAAAAGAAGCACTGGGGAGTTAAGCATTTGGAAATATGCCGCATAAGACAATCTGGAGGGTAATTGGGATAGGGAAGGATAGTAGTGATTGGAACTAAGTCACAAGCCAAAGATAAGGTATTTTTCCATTGACATGGGCTTAATACAGTTATTAAGAGTATTATCCTAAGATTTTTAGCTGGAGTTTTTTAACGTCACTAGGTCTTCTGATATTAGCACAGGCAAATACATCATCTTAGTTACAGCTTATGGTTGGGAGTATAATGCTGAAGTGGAATACGGTGTTTTCTATCCTGAGAATGAGAAAAGTCTCATCAGAGGGTGGTTTTTTTTTTTTTTTAAACAAAACAAAACAAACAACCCCCTGCCCCAACTACCATGTGAATGGTTATTCTGATCTGCCGAAATCTAGCTAGCATAGGTAAGATGGGGCTATTAATACCCCAGATAACTAGAAGGTGTAGTGTTTGGCTGAAATTTGCTGTACAGTTCTATTTCAATTGACCTCCTTTATGTATTGCATTCCTACAATGACATCTTAAAGCTACTGAATTTTTGAGGCTATTTTATTGTTCAGATACTGTAGTTTCTTGCCTTCCAGGTTTATCTGTCTGATATACCTGTTTCAGATCACTTGCAAATAGAGCTTTTCACATAATTTTATTTTGTTTTTTCAATAACGTAGAAGTCTTAAATATGAAATGCTGTAATATTGCGTTGTCATGTGGTATTGCTTGTAGTTACCTGTCACTTAACTTCTCCGCTAATATGCAGCCTATCCACAGTTCTGAGTTAAACTACAGACATAAAATGAATATCATAAACAATAGTAAATTTGGAAACAGTCAGACTTGTTATAAATGAACACCTATGAAAAGTAATTTGACCTCTTTTTCACACTAGAGGGCACTAATATCCCATGAAATTTAAGCCTAAACCAATTTTTATTTTCTAATGTTTATATGTTAGGTAGTCTGCTTCTGCAGTGAGGCCAGAATTCTTCATTTCTCTGCAGCCTTTTCTCTGTAGAAATGAAAAATTTGAAAAGGTAATATTCTTGCAAGGATGCATCAGAGGGATGCATGAGTGATGTTTTTGTTTAAACAGTAATTTGGGTAATGATTTCTGGAGGAAAAGAAGATAACTTTAATTTGTGCTCTTGAAGTGATTTCATTCTGATACTTTTCACTTGAAGCTGGTAAACACGAAAATAAAGAAGGAAGTTATCCAGTAACTTACACAAAGAAATCTAGTAGACTTAATCTCGAGTATACTTTTTAAAGTTTGTAATCAAAGGAAAGAATCTTACCTGAACTGATGCTGCAAGCATAACTTAAGTTATGGGTTAATGCATGTATTTACATAGCAATACTGGTGTAAAGGAAATAATATAGAAAACAATATGAAAATCTCTATATTGGCAGTAAGAACTGAAGATTCCACTACAATCCATTAGTTTGTATTTTGACATTTTAAGGGCCTCAAGGCAACGTAGCTGTTTTAAGTGTTTTGGGTTTTGTTATGGATTTTATATGATGAATCTTTCTTAAAACACTTGAACAAAATGGCTTCTGATTATTTTTGTCCTTTGTAGGAATGGTTATCCTGTTGCCTTGGAGATGATCCTGCTGCCTTAAATGTAGGGCAGAAGATTAATGGTGCGGGCAGTATGGACCTAATGAATGGACAGTCAAGCAGTGTTAATATTGCAGCTACTGCTTCCGAGGTAAGGATTACAAAACTTGGTTGTTGAATACTTAAGACCGTAAAACTTAAATCTTTTTTAAAAATGCCTCAAAAGAAAGTGTCTATCTTTCAGCAGATCTTATGCAGCAGATTTTCTTACGTGGGTGTGGTGGTTTAATGTTCCACAGTTTAGATGTGAATAATTTCAGGTTCTGATCTTTGTATACCAATAGAAGGTATGAACTATCATTTGCAGCCTTGCCGTAGCCTGTAAATGCCTTTTCTGTGTCATTTTTTCATCACATCCAGATAACCTTTTTTTCCAAGTTTTATAGTAGTGATAGGTACTCTTAGCGCAATATAGAGGGTTGGTGAGGCCCATGGGGAATGTTCTCCTCTCCGACAGTAGCTGTATGGGGGTTCTAACGCTGTAGTGCTGGAATGATAAGGTCGTTCCCTTTCCCCCCTGACCTTGGGAGGGATTGATGTGGGGTCCCCCGACAAAGTTTCTACCCCTTAGAGTTGGACCGCTCATGAGTTAAGTGTGCACATCGGACACATTACATGAATCTACCTTCAGTAAGTTATTCTTTTCTATCGTCCCTAACTGGGAAGGAAGGGAAACTTAAAATTGAAAAGTTTCTGAAGGTGCCATATACTGGTTAGTGAAAACGGATGCCTGCCTGGTTGGGGTTTTCCGTTTTTATTTTTTTTCCTCAAAATCAGATTTTTTCAAAGATACAGTGCTGTCAGAAGAACTTAACTACCTAAAACAGTTATGATTATTAAATGAGCAAGTGTATTCTTCAGGTCTTTAAAACAAAAATGTTTAAGAATGGAGCAGGATTTATTTCAACTGGCTGAATTTTCGAGAACTCAAATGCTCTCGTTTCTGTGAGTGGGAAGTAAAAATAGAAATATGTAGTACAACCATAATAGTACTGCCTTGTTAGGTTTTTCAGGAGAAAAATGTTAGAATAATGCAAAAATATCATCATCTGAGCCAATGGTTCTCTGCTTGGTTTTTTCATCTGTTCCAGAAATTGGGAATTTTGGTTTCTACTGCTCCTGCTCGGAAGGGCATGTATCTTCTGACACCTAGTCAAGGAAAGACCTTGTGGATGCTTTCCAGTTTCTTGCCTGAGGAGTGCTTGCAGTTTTGCTTGACATAGCATCTATTTGCTGATAATACCTGCAGGCCTTGTTTTGTTTTAGAACAGATGCGTCACTGCAAGATCAGGATATTCCGTTCTCTTACCTTCTCGTAAAGAATTCAGCTCTCTGAGGTGCCTCCCACATGATCGTAGTTAGAATAGAGCGCCTAAGGATACATCAAGTCTCCAAGATGAGGCTAAATGAGTCTTGGTTTGTGTTCAGTGTGTTTTGCCACTGCTAAGATGGAGCTCCCGACAATGATGAGCATGCAGTGTGTATCAGTACTAGTTTTCTTCCCCTGGAGCATCTCCATACTAAGTGTTAACAAAACTGTTGTGAGAGCTCCAAGATTGTTATTGGTGAACCCTGCAGACTTCATAGTGTAGCAAAGGTGATCCTGTTTGCTGAAGAACAAGCAGTTGAAAGTTGAAGTTACTGACCATAGTTAACTGGGGGCCCTTCACAAGGTTTTGTCCATGTGAATCATCTTATTTTTTGCTTTTTAGTCAGAAGTTTGCTTTACCCAAGGATTATGACAATGAGAGGAAACTAAGAATAGGAAATGTGTAGCCCCTCTTGTTCTCAGAGGAAAGGGCTGGGGGAGTGGCAGGGGGACAAAGTGATTGCATGCTGGATGCGTATTTCCAAAATAAATACGTCTGAGTTCACATATGAAGTACACACCTGGATGTGACATCTCAAACCTCAGTGTGACAAGCAACTTCTTACTTGTAATGACTGAAAAGAGAATCTAGGTTTGTATCTATATACCAAAACAAGTGATTACCCATAACATAGGTGTGTTGGCTTCATACTGTATGAAGTGTTAAATTTTGAACCATATTTGTATTTAGCAGGGAAGCTCGTATCTGGATATGTTCCAGCTATATAATCATAGTATAGCAACTGATGTCTTCTCCAAATTGGAATTTTCAGTTCTAGCATTAAAGTGTCACTAAAATTGCTGGTACAGAGTTTCTTAGAAGGGAAACGTGTATATAGCGCTTAGCTTAACTTTTGTTAGCTTGCAAGAGGAGTAGGAAGAGATTGATACTGTCCTTTGATATTCACTCTTCCTGTGGAGCAGATGTATTTTTTCCTCACCGTGGTGACTTTCTGTGAGTTCAGTGGAACTAATTTTTCTTTTTTTTTTTTTCCCCTCTCCTTTAAAAAATTTTTTCTGTCAACGAGATTGGCATGAATTATGCCCTGAAATGTAAGTGTTGTGTGTTGAGAGCCACCTTTGAAGTCAGCTGATGTCAGCTTGCAACCCTCTCATTTTAGGAGTATCTATCTTGGGAGAAAGTATGTCCTGTGATTTTATTTTAATTGATAATTTATTAGATAGAAAAATTTCATGACAGTGATGTTTGGCGGGGGGAAAAACTTAAAAAGGAGAGAATCAAAACAAATCAGTATTTTTGTTTGTTTGTATTTCTGCAGAAGAGTAGCAGCTCTGAATCCCTAAGTGACAAAGGCTCAGCTGAACTGAAGAAGAGCTTTGATGCAGTGGTATTTGATGTTCTCAAGGTTACACCAGAAGAATATGCAGTAAGTGATTAAGTAATTTGCGTGTCTGAGAATACTTTGGAGGGCGGGGGGCGTTTTCCTCCCCTTCTCTGTTCCTGTGGCTTATGCCTAACTTCTGTTGTCCTTATGTTTCAAAAATGGAGCCTGTACTATAAATACATAGCTCCTTTGTGTGTATATTCTGTTTATGTAGTCTTTTGGGGCGTTGCTGTCCTGAGCTCTCCTAGTATTGTCCCTGTTTTTCTTGCATGTAATGTAGACTAATGATTCTTAAATTTGTATGATATAGCTTAATTCTGACATGAAGACAATGCAAAGTACCTACTTGCTTGTTTTAGTGGTAGGAATATCTTTGACTTGAGTTTATGTCATATTGAGGTGTTTTAATTGAACATTTTGAGTTTTCTTTATTTATACTGATTGGTATAATGAAGTTTTCGATTCTTAAATACTGCCATTCCTGAGTAATGTTCAGGCAATTGCAGATGTTGGCAGATGGCACACATGCCCCAGCTGAAGTTAATGACATCAATTTTGATGCTATTTAGTGAGGCCAGAATTTGATTTGTATCATTGCTAGAGAGTAGTCACAATAAGAAGTCATATAAATTTTTTATAGTCTTTGCCCACTGTAGGAAACATGGTAATTATTTTTTACACTTTTAAAGGAAAAACATACTTGTGACTACTAGCTTATACTTGAGCTGTCTGGGTTGTATTCTTGGCTATGTCGCATAAAGCCTGTGTGACGTTCAGTCCAAGTGTTTTTGCATTTCAACTCTTCTCCCCCCAGACAGCATTTGTAATAGTCCTGTTGGACACCTGTTGGCTGTGATTCAGGATTATAGATTCTCCAGATGAATCTCCTTTAGTTCATCAACAATCTGCAAATATTGAAGGTCAACAGTAACAAAGTAGAGCGCAAGTTGGATTGTTGCTTTTATAAAGGTTGTTTTTTATTGGGGCTAAATATTGAACATTTCAATTAGTGGCTTCTTCTGCTGCATATGTTGCAGGAGATCTTGTTAGAGGTTATATGTGAATATAACCACTCATATCACATTCACATGTGCTCTCCAGCCAAAAATGGAGATAGCCAAAAATGCTTCAAGACACTCTGCAGTACTTCAGTACTTGGTTATTTCATGGACCTTGAGAACCTTAGTGCTGCTTAAAACATGCCTAGTTCTCCTCCAGCTTTTCAAGTATTGCTTTGTGCTGTCAGATTTATGAGCGTTTGTGACAGTAGGCTTCAGTATTTCTCTTGGTACGCAAAAAGATGTGTTGTGTTTGGTTTTTGGAGTGTTGTTTGGGGTTTTTTGTTTCTTCTAACTCATTTTACCTACCTTGGAATTTAATGCAATGTGTAAAGTATGCTGAACTATTCCTGAAATATTGCTATTGCTGTTGGATTGCAATAGAGGAGCTAACAAAAATTAAACTAAGAACTACATACAGAGTGTCCTGAGTGTTTTGGACACGTGTGGCTTTCGTGGGGCTTGAGGTGACTGCAGGTAAATTAGGTCACTTCCCCTATGAAGAACGCGTTCAGACCTGCATATTCTGCACAAGAATTCTTCGGGAAATCCAGGCCTTCCTATCGAAGAAATCTATCTACTTTATACTGTCATGGGAAAGGAGAGAGGAAGACTTGCTTCCTCCTAGGCATTAGCATTGGCACAATGGGATCAGATTAGCAGGCTGAAGTGAGTGGTGTCATGGCACCCACACGGGTGCTATATGTTGTTCATGGATTTTTACTCAGACCGGATTTAATCTGGTCTCCTGGACTGAATGTTGCTGTGATGACTGTTCAAACCACTCCGAAGGACTGTTAATTGGTTCAGACTGTTATGTCTCTGTTAGGAGCTGGAGCGTGCCTGGAGTGGACCTTCTTGTTTAGTTTTTAATTCAAAAGGGATCCAGCGCATGTGCAGAAAATTCTGTGAATGAAACCAGTAAAAGACTTACAAACGGCACTTTGGCTTCAAAATGAAATGCAAATGTAGGTGCAGCCATCCGTAGTCAAAGATATATAGTCTGATTTTGTGTGTTATATGTTAAGAAGGTAAATTAATTTCAGGAGTGTTTTGTGCCCTGAACTTTAAGTCTTACATCTAGGGAGTGTTCCCCCCTTTTAGGGGGGAATGGTACAGAATAGTCAACTGGCTATCCTGCAGAACCAAGAACAAACAAACAAAGTGTTAGACAAAACGCTAGGTGATTTTTTTTTTATCCTGTTTGTAGAGGCTAGGAGGACAGACAGTCCCTCTGTTTGAATGATTCAAGTGCGTTACTAGAAAGATTATTAACAAACGTTGCTTACTTATTTATTTTACTGCATTTGAAATTCTAGTGATTAGATTCATGGTGAGTTGTCCTGGGGGAGATTATCAACATGTATATAGGTATACATTAGAAATTAGTATGCATTAGGAAGCATTCCCATTAAATTTGTTCCATTTTTAAACCATTAATTCCTATCCTATTTATGAAAGGATAAATTAGTATTAATGAGCATACCAAAAATTTCAAGCATCTGGGTTGTGAGGTGGTACTTACACAGACATTTTAAATTTTTGGGGGGATAGTTCGTGGGATTTACCCCTGACTGAGGCTCAAGGCATGCCATTTGGGCCTGTTCATTGCTCTGGGGTCCAGAAGAACCAGGCAGTGAATCACTGACTTTTCACAGATGGAAGTGTTTGGGGCTGGCCATCCTTTCAATTTTATCTTATCATAGCATACATTCTCTACATAAAGAAGATCTGAGTACTTACAGAATTTGGGTTAGTGGCATGGTTTCAAGTTAAATTATGCATTTAGGCCAGAATAGCTGCAAATTCCTTTGAATGACTCTCCCATTTAGCCTGCGGTGAATGCTGTTGAGCAGCAGGGTGGACCCTTCAGTCTCTGTGCAGTTGCTGTCACTGACTTGGAAAGCAAATATCAAGATTCTTTGGTTGCAGCACGCTTTCTAATCCTTCTGCTCTTCTAAGGTCTCTCTCCTGTGCAGAAGCCTATAGGCTGCATGGGCCTTTTAAGTATTACCTACTTAGTCAATCTTAGATAAAAATCTTTATTAAAATACAGTCTCTTTTTATGGTTTTCATATTGTGTTTCAAACTGGGTGGAGTTCTGCTTGGAAAAAGGAGTATTTTATTAAGCATTTCACAGTACAATTGCAAGACACGATTGTATTTTTTGGTTAATACTACCTGGTATAATTTGCTGTTTTCTTAGTTTCCAGGAAGATTCCAGGTTTTAGAAAACTCATGTCTTTATTCTTAGCCTTCTGTTTGCTGTGAATGGGTCTGAAACGCCTCGTAGGCAGCATTCTGAACAGTTAAGCAAAACTACCAGTAGGCAGTGTGCAGCCCATTGTCAAGGTTATAATTAATTTCCTTCTTTTTTCAAGGATGTTTCTGTATGCAGCTGTGCTTTTTAGTTGATGTTTGTTTCCTTAGGCAAGTTTATCTGCTTTTCCAGTAGTACTTGCTTGTTTGGGTACTATCTTTCTTCTGATCGTTCTTGCTGAAAGTTGTGGAAATCAGTAAATAAGCCAAAAACTTGCGTGCCTTGGAGGGAGCCCCATCTTGGACCCCCTTTGTTTGCGTTTTATTGGCCATTTCCTTATTCTTCCTGCTTTCAGCCCTGCCATAATAGAAAACTATAAAATCTTGATCTGAATTTGAATGTTAGCCTGAAGACCAGAGTGATGCAGTATGGTCAAGATTTGGGGAGTACCGGAATTGATGAGAATGCAAGACTGTGCTAGTAATGGATATGCACATCTCAGATTGGACGTGGATATGTTGCTAATTGCTTTTTCAAGATGAAGAAGCTTCTAGTTTAATGATACTTCTTGTAAAACGGATGCAGTGCAGACTTCTGACATCTGTGATTTAGGGAAGGCTGAATTCCATTACTAACTGCAGAGTGAGACTGTTTTCAAAATGACTTTTTTAAAGTGGTGAACTGAGGAAACAGTTTGTGGGCTCTGCAGCATCTTATGCATAGAGAGAAAATATAATGTGACAAAGCCAGTACAATAGCAATAAAAGGAAACTGCTGCACAAGACCTAGCTAGACAGATGCCTACCTAGTGGTTAGGGAGTCTTGGCTCATGAAACAAAACAAAAAACCCACTCCGGTATGTAGATATTGTACGGGTGGGAGTTGACTAGTAAAGCCAACATTGGTGTTGGAAGTCTTACCCCGTATCTTATATGTGGTGTTGTATTTTGATCAGAACAGATAAGTGTACAGGTGGGACAACTGTAACTATACTAGAGACAGAAAAGCAAAAATCTGAAAGATACTAAGTGTGAGAGAAGTTGGAAATGGGGTTCATGTCAGTTGTTTCAGTACTAATATGAGACTCAAAGATGTCTTTGCATTTCCCATTGTGTTGGAAACATCACCGTTTCAGAACTTGAAATCTGTTTAGTGATTTAGTGGGTGGGTAAGAGACAAAATGGGCTAGAAAAGCTATGCTTGTAATCCTGTATTTTCTATAAGTTGCTTACCAAGCCAAAGAAAAGACTACTTAAAAAAAAAATTTGGTGATTTTCTTTCCATATCCTTCCTTTTGGCAGTCATCTGACATCATCCTGAGTGCGGAGTCAGTATGCCATTTTATATAATGGTCCTTTATTTAGTCTCGAACTAGTTATCTAACAAAGATGTCCCAAAAGTACTTCAGCTCTTCAAGAGGTCTAGTTTAATCAGTAAGCCAAAGGATTATTATAGGAGATTTGTAGTATTCCAGCTGTGCTGCTGTTACAAAGAATTTAAAATGCCTGGTTGGTGTAGTTGAAGGCCACTGTAGAAAGGGCCGAGCTAAAGCTGACACAAGTGAGATCTTCTTTAGGACCAGCTGCTGCTGCTGAAAGTTTATAGTTTGTTTTACTGTGCTGCAGCTGACAAAAACAAAGCTTCTAGGAAGATATATTGAATGCCTGCGTGTGTCGTAGATTTGGGGGGAAAAGAAGAATCCCTTCCAGTGAGTATAAAGCAGG